CTCTCCTTCTTTTACGACGGGGTGTTACGAACGTCGGCGTCGTAAACGGCGGTGTGTTGTCAGCCGGCAAGTGGCCTTTGTTTGCTAATAACCGCCTCTTTTAATATCAGGTACTTCTCAAATGCGACGAATAATCGTAAAATTTTGCATACACGATTCACGGTTTCACGAAACAAAACTTTGCAAGTAGTTCATAATTATTAGTTTTTCTCTTTATTTTACTTGCAATCAAATGACTTTTACTATGTTTATTTTCGTTCGTAAAGTGACTCGACACACCCCAAACAAGGTTGAAAATTTCTACAACTTACCATACATGTGTCACTACAAGTCCTGATTGGCAAATATTATTTATGTAAACATAACTAAAATTCTATAAAAGTATCAAGTTATGTTAGTATGATAAACCCTAGTAAACATAATTACACCTGGCCTCCCTGCCTCCCACCTGCTCGTATTTGGAAAGTGGAAAGTAAAAAATAAAGTGTAAGGTTGAAACCAGGCACTTCTTTATACACAGAGGTCCGACAACCAGGTGCAAAGTATTTCGTATTTGTGTCGTAGTCGTCTCGTGCCACGTCTCAGAGATCTATCAAATGTCATAAGAGCAAGAATAAGTTTGTAGGTACAACATCAGCGATATTCTTTTGACTAAAGGTATCAAAGGGGTGTCGTCGTTCGTGCGTGTTTTACTACAGTCGACCACGTAATATTTGTGCAGCCTTTCACTTTACGTCAGCCTAAGAGATTTCATCGGTGTCAGAGAAGAGGATTTATGAAACTTATAGGATAGGTGATAGGGAATTGGGGCACTGCATAAGTGAGTCTCCAAGTTCTATCTGCTATCCCAAATCTTAAATCCTCGACTAAAACCTAATAGGCTTGGCGTTCGGAGATATTAAAAAAGGCTTTCATTCCAGGGTACCTAGCCTTCATCTACCCGGCACTGAAGCGCTACATTTGAGGAGGGCCAGGCCCGACACTTCTGATTCGTTCTGGCTCGATGGGGCTCGATACTCATCCTTCACTTGTCTTCATCTTAAGGTCCGTTTTTGGTCTTTGTTGGCACAAATGGCCTCGTGGCGGCTCCCGCTCTCTCGGGGGTCGCAGAAGACATCTCCTCGTGTTGTGAGACATAAAAATCCTTGTCAAGTTAGGTGTCGACACGATGCCAAAATTGCTACATAATAAAATGTGTGGCTTCTGCTTGTGACCACAAAAAAACCACGGAAGGACGACTACAATCGAAACAATGCGGTCCCCCTTACGGTTTATTGAGGTAAAGGTGTTGGGCATTCAATGTCAGGCAAAAAAATCTTATTTTGTCACCAACAAAATTGTCAAATGTTTCTGTTGTAAGACCGATGATTATCCTATTACAAATACGGAAAAATTTATTTATTCCAATCACTGCAACATGAATTTATCGTTTATACGACTTCAAAAAAACAAAAAAATTATGCAGTGAAGACGTACACCTGACCAGACTTGTCCTTCTTGTAAGTTCTGGTCTCCGAATGACAGTTATAAGTGACACGTTTGTAACACCCCTCACATTCAGGGTACGAAGAGGTTTGTGTAAATGACTGTATACTGTCTATAAATGTTCGGTATTTTGTTTATCTTTTTGTTATTTTTTCTCACGTTCTTTCTTGTCTTATTACTAAATCTTCGACCATTTCCACGTCGATCAAACTTACTGAAACATATTACCGTCCCGATCGAACACTTAAATGAGGTCCACTTGATTTCAGCTAAATTTGTAGTGTACACTTTGGTCGTAAGAGGGTTTAGGTAAA